ACTGATAACCACAGTGGAAGGAGATCCATCACCTCCACTTGTGAAACCAACTACTGCTGGGACTGATAACCACAGCAGAAGGAGACCCATCACCCCCACTGGTGCTGGATAAAAAGGGACTGAAGAGAAGAAAGGTTGTCAGCTTTAAGCGGAACACTGATTCCCCAGCTGCACCCAGCGCTGTTTTGCTTGCTATCGCTTGCTGTAATTAATAAAATTATTAACTGATCTTAAAAGGCTGAATCAAATTATTCACCTCAATTTATAACAGGGATGTCAGTGCTGCCCCAGGGCAGCTCGCTCCCCGAAGCGTCCCAGCCCCTGCTCGGGTTTTACCCCAGCGCTGTCAGGGTTGTAATTAGAGTGAAAGGATGATTAATTAAACCTTGGCCCCACCTCGGCTCAGAGCGGGGAGCCTGTGCCCTTCTTTACCTCGGCAGGGACAGGAGGATTGGCAGACAGAGATCGGCCAGGAAAGCGCCGAGCTGACCTGGGACAGGACTGGATTCGCACACGGATCACTCCCGGGTCTGGATTCGCACACGGATCACTCCCGGGTCTGGATTCGCACACGGATCACTCCCAGGTCTGGATTCGCACACGGATCACTCCCGGGTCTGGTTTCACACACCCAGATCTCTCCCGGGTCTGGATTCGCACACGGATCACTCCCAGGTCTGGTTTCACACACCCAGATCTCTCCCGGGTCTGGATTCGCACACGGATCACTCCCAGGTCTGGATTCGCACACGGATCACTCCTGGGTCTGGTTTCACACCCAGATCTCTCCCGGGTCTGTTTGCACAGACATGATCTCTCCTGTTTCTGGTCTCACACCCAGATCTGTCCCGGGTCTGGTTTCACACCCAGATCTCTCCTGGGTCTGGTTTCACACCCAGATCTGTCCCGGGTCTGGTTTCACACCCAGATCTCTCCTGGGTCTGGTTTCACACACACAGATCACTCCCGGGTCTGTTTTCACACTCAGATCACTCCCAGGTCTGGTTTCACACACAGATCTGTCCCGGGTCTGTTTTCACACACACAGATCACTCCCAGGTCTGGTTTCACACCCAGATCTGTCCCGGGTCTGGTTTCACACCCAGATCTCTCCCGGGTCTGTTTGCACACACACAGATCACTCCCAGGTCTGGTTTCACACCCAGATCTCTCCCGGGTCTGGTTTCACACACCCAGATCTCTCCAGGGTCTGGTTTCACACACACAGATCTCTCCCGGGTCTGTTTGCACACACAGATCTGTCCCGGGTCTGGTTTCACACCCAGATCTCTCCCGGGTCTGTTTGCACACACAGATCACTCCTGTTTCTGGTCTCACACCCAGATCTGTCCCGGGTCTGGTTTCACACCCAGATCTCTCCTCTTTCTGGTCTCACACCCAGATCTGTCCCGGGTCTGGTTTCACACCCAGATCTCTCCCGGGTCTGTTTGCACACACAGATCTCTCCTGTTTCTGGTCTCACACCCAGATCTCTCCCGGGTCTGTTTGCACACACAGATCTCTCCCGGGTCTGTTTGCACACACAGATCTCTCCTGTTTCTGGTCTCACACCCAGATCTCTCCTGGGTCTGTTTGCACACCCAGATCTCTCCCGGGTCTGTTTGCACACACAGATCTCTCCCCTGCCCTGCCATTAATTCACCCAGCCCAGCACACTCTGGAAATACCACGGCATTTTTCCTCTTTCCAGCCCAGACACCACCAGGCAGAGGAGATGCACCAGAACTCCCAATTTTAGCGGAGTTACGGCCGCGTGTCTGGCTGGGAGGGCCATCGATCCTCTGCACAACATCTGTTGGCGAGGCTGTGCACTGCCACATCTGGAATTGTTTGAGGACAGGCTGGGCAGCGCTTGGAGCGACCTGGGAGGCAGAAGGGGATTTCTTTCCACTCCCTGTTGGAACTCAGAACGTCCCTCAGACGTTTTTGGATGTTCCGGGCCCGGGTCAGAAGCATTTGAGACCCTGGCACAGCTGCAAACAGCTGTGAGTTTGGGTTTGAGCCATGGAACGAGTTACCAACCTTGCAGGGAGAACAAGAAGTCACCAAAGTTTGGATGTTACAGTAGAAGTGGTCACAAAGTAGAGGGAAGAATTTCTGAGTGCTGTACAGGGGGTTTGGTTTTGTACATGGGGGTCAGAGGTTTAAGATGGATTTGGGATTTGGGCCTGCCCTGTCCTCCCTCTTTCTCCTTCCTCACCTCCATGTTCTGGTGATGTTGGCACTCACAGACTGGTTTGGAGGAGAAAGGCACCATTTAATATAGGGAATAGGCATTGGGGAAAAATTATAAACATTTAATATGTAATGTATCATATAAAATATAGAAAGGCACCATTTAATATAGGGAATAGGCATTGGGGAAAAATTATAAACATTTAATATGTGATGTGCCATATAAAAGAGAGCAGCAGCCCTGGGCAGGGAGAGAAGAAGACGAAGACGAAGAAGAAGGAAAAGAAGAAGAAGAAGAAGAAGAAGAAGAAGAAGAAGAAGAAGAAGAAGAAGAAGAAGAAGGAGGAAAAGAAGAAGAAGAAGAAGAAGAAGAAGAAGAAGAAGAAGAAGAAGGAGGAAAAGAAGGAGAAGAAGGAAAAGAAGAAGCAGTCGGGAGTCAGAGAGGATGTCAGGGTGTGTGTGTGCCTCTGCCTGTGCTGTGAGCAAACCACAGCAGCCCCAGAAGAAAATCTTTGAGATAACTTGCAATAAACTGCCTTGAGACTGAACAAGAGACTGCTGAGCCTTTCTTTGGAAGCTCGGCTTGGAGGAGAGACTTTTCCACCACATGGAGCCACCCCTGACCCAGGAGCGAGCTCCAGCACCTTCCCACCCAAAGCCCCCCTAAAGCCCCGGGTTCTGGGAGGTGGAACGGGATTTCTTTCTGCTCCCTTCCCACCCCAATCACCCGTGGAGCCCCGAGTTTTGGGAATTTCTTTCCGCTCCCTTCCCACCCGAGCCACCCATGGAGCCCAGAGTTTTGGGAAGTGGAAGGAAATTTCTTTCCGCTCTCTTCCCACTCAAGCCACCTGTAAAGCCCCAGAGTTTTGGAGGTGGAATGGGATTTTTTTCCTCTCCCTTCCCACCCAAACATCCCCTAAAACCCTGAGTTTTGGAAGGCGTTAGGAGATTTCTTTCAGCTCCCTTCCCACCCGAACCTCCCCTACAGCCCCAGATTTTGCGAAGCAGAAGGAAATTTCTTTCCGCTCTCTTCCCACTCGAGCCACCTGTAAAGCCCCAGATTTTGGGAGGTGGAACGGGATTTCTTTCCCTTCCCACCTGAACCTCCCCTAAAGCCCGGGATTTTGGGAGGTGTTAGGAGATTCCTTTCAGCTCCATTCCCCCCCGAACCACCCCTAAAACCCTGGATTTTGAGAATTTCTTTCCACTCCCTTCCCACCCGAATCACCCCTAAAGCCCCAGATTTTGGGAACGGGATTTCTTTCCGCTCCTTTCCCACCCGAACCACCTGTGGAGCCCCGGATTTCGGGAATGTCTTTCGGCCCCCTTTCCAGCCAAACTCCCCTAAAGCCCCATGTTTTGGCCATTTCTTTCAGCTCCCTTCCCACCCGAACCACCACTAAAGCCGCAGATTTTGGGAATGTCTTTCAGCCCCCTCCCCAGCGGAACCTCACCTAAAGCCACGTGTTTCGGGAATTTCTTTCCACTCTTCACCCCCAAACCTCCCCTAGAGCCCCGTGTCTCAGGAATGTCCTTCAGCCCCTTCCCACCCGCGGAGCCCCGTGTCTCGGGAACATCCTTTGGCTCCTTGCCCCCCAAACCTCCCCTAGAGCCCCGTGTCTCGGGAATGTCCTTCGGCTCACTTCCCACCCACGGAGCCCCGTGTCTCGGGAACGTCCTTCAGCCCCTTCCCCCCAAACCTCCCCTAGAGCCCCGAGTCTTGGGAATGTCCTTGGGCCCCTTCCCACCCGCGGAGCCCCGTGTCTCGGGAACATCCTTGGGCCCCTTCCCCCCAAACCTCCCCTAGAGCCCCGAGTCTCGGGAGCGTCCTTCGGCCCCTTCCCACCCGCAGAGCCCCGAGTCTCGGGAGCATCCTTTGGCCCCTTTCCCCCAAACCTCCCCTAGAGCCCCGTGTCTCGGGAGCGTCCTTCAGCCCCTTTTCCCCCAAAGCTCCCCTAGAGCCCCGTGTCTCGGGAACGTCTTTTGGCTCACTTCCCACCCGCCGAGCCCCGTGTCTCGGGAACGTCCTTCAGCCCCTTCCCCCCAAACCTCCCCTAGAGCCCCGTGTCTCGGGAACGTCCTTCAGCCCCTTTCCCCCAAACCTCCCCTAGAGCCCCGTGTCTTGGGAGCGTCCTTCAGCCCCTTTTCCCCCAAAGCTCCCCTAGAGCCCCGAGTCTCGGGAATGTCTTTCGGCTCACTTCCCACCTGCCGAGCCCTGTGTCTCGGGAACATCCTTCGGCCCCTTGCCCCCAAACCTCCCCTAGAGCCCCGACTCTCGGGAATGTCCTTCAGCCCCTTCCCCCCAAACCTCCCCTAGAGCCCCGTGTCTCAGGAATGTCCTCTGGCCCCTTGCCCCCAAAGCTCCCCTAGAGCCCCGAGTCTCGGGAGCGTCCTGGGCCCCTTGCCCCCCAAAGCTCCCCTAGAGCCCCGAGTCTCGGGAATGTCCTTCAGCCCCTTCCCACCCACGGAGCCCCGAGTCTCGGGAGCATCCCGGGCCCCTTGCCCCGGTCCGGGCTGCGGCCGTACCGTCCGTCGCGCGAGCGGTGCAGGCTGCCGTGGCAGCTGCCGGCGCGGCTGTGCGCGCTGCCGGCGCGGCTGCGCTGCTCGTCCAGCACCGCCAGCTGCGTGGACGAGGCGTGCGTGGAGGTGCCCTGCGTGGAGGTGCCCCGCGACTTGCGGACGATGGGCGTGTTGGGGTCCCGCAGCAGCGACTGGGCGAAGTCCGGCTCCTGCAGCACCTGCCGGCTCTCGTTGACAACCCTGGGCAATTAATCGGCGTTAATTAGCGCGCTGCGGAAGCGGGTCGCAGCACCAACACAACAAGTAGCGGGGCTTGGCGAACAAGAGCGTTATTTACTTGGTAATGCCCATGTTATTTACATTATTTACATGATAATGCCCCTGTTATTTACATTACTTACACGATAATGCCCCCGTTATTTACATGTTTTACATTATAATGTCCCTGTTATTTACATTATTTACATTATAATGTGCCCGGTTTTGAAGTGCCTCCCGTGTGGTTATTTAGGTCCCCAGTGTGGTTATTTCAGCCCATTTTCAATCCTTAAATGATGGGCCAAAAGTCAGGGAGGAGTCACGGAAAGCTTTCTGTCTTTGTGGATCTGTTTTCAAACATCTTAAAGGACAATGTTTGTTAGGGAAATTACATTACAATATGCCTGATTTTGAAGTGCCTCCCCTGTGGTTATTTTAGCCCATTTTCAATCCTTAAGGATGGGCCAAAAGTCAAGGAGGACTCACCAAAAACTTTCTGTCTTGGTGGATCTGTTTTCAAAC